ATAATTAATTCCCCTTGGCTTATTAATCATGAGAAGCATGCATTAACAACCCAAGTTTACTACCATTGCAAGAACCGAATAAATAACAAGCGTATTAACCGATTGATTCTAGTAATAATTAATATATGAAACAAAACTAGTTGATCCTTTAAGTAATGTTCAATATTAATATGAAATATGAATAGGAATTAATTAATACTCAAGGAAGAATATTAAAGAAGATGAATCCTACTATAGTTAATATCAAGATGTTAACTAATTGTCATCTTAGTAACACTCCCCAATATTAACATAGAGGAAGAAATAGCTATTACTATAATTAATGTCAAGATGTTAACTAATTGTCATCTTAGTAACACTCCCCAACATTGATATAGAAATAGTATTTAAAGGAAGAATTAATATTCAAGGAAGAAGATTAAAGAGAATAACTCACAACTTACAAATTCATTAAGCTTCAAAGTAGCAAAACCAAGATGGAAGAGTTTAGCTCCTCATTTGGAGACTAAACATGATAGAAAATATAAAGAAAACACTAATCTAAACTGAGCTAAAGAGTATAGAGATATTACCCGAAATAGGACTAAAAAGGTTTGAAAATTCCAAAATAGGACTGTCATGTTTTTATTCCCAAAATAGGACTAATTACTGTCATGTTTTGGCAGTACCAGACTTCAAACATGACAGTATTTTCCAAACTTGACAGTAATTACTCCTATTTTGGGAATAAAAAACATGTCAGTCCTATTTTGGAATTATCAAACTGTTTTAGTCCTATTTCGGGAACTTTCCCAAGAGTATATGTGAATTGGTGATTTTATTGTGAAGGAAAGGGGTGTATTTATAGGCTTTTGGGAGCTGCAGGGTCTGATACTCGATCGGGTATATAGGATACCCGATCGGGTATCTTAGGAAATTGCCCAGAAAGTCACTTTTCTGGGCATACCCGATCGGGTATGTCGGCATACCCGATCGGGTATGTGACAAATCTTCACGAAAATTTGCTCCCACGATCATTTGTTCCCGGATTTGATTTGGACAATCGAATCAAGTGAATACCCGATCGGGTATAGGCAATACCCGACCGGGTACATGAGTATTTTTTCCAAATCGAAATCTTTCTTGTCTCCTTGCACTTTCCTTGATCTTTTAAGGTCCAATCTTGATCCCTTGGATGATCTTTGACCTGTTTAGCTCAGAATAATCCTAATCTAAACAAATTACAAATAAAAATGAAAATAAAATATTACACCAAAAGTGTGTAATTTCCACAACTAGAACTAATAAAAACTAGTTAAAAATACAAACATACAATCGGAAATTACATGAATATCAATTATGTGCTACCAGAAACCCCCACAATAGAGATCCCACCTAACTCCACAACAAAAGAGGTAACCTTTGATCCTCTTGTAATATTAGATACACAATTCGCCCCGATCCTAGTATGGAGGACCTATAGACTAAGTCCAGTTGAGGACGTCGTCAAAGAATTGGATTTCTATAGAACAGAGGAGCCATATGTTCTATTCTTGACTAGATCCGTTGTTCACCCATTGAAAAAAGTCTAGACTTAAACTTTCGGGAATAGAAATGTGAAGAAAAGAAGAGAAGTCTAAAAGGGAAGTCTACTGCTACGGAGGAAGTTATACTAAAGGGTGCCATACATGTAGAAACTCTCAACTCCAATAGAGTTTGAGGAGTGGATGGTTAGGAAAGTATACTTTTAAGAGCATCTCCATCCATGTTACTCAAATGTTCGGTTGTTGATGTCTTACTCTTGTCATGTCATTGTCAAATAAACAAAATCAAAACTTACGAATTCTCCTTCAACCATGATCTCTATTCATTTAGTTTTTTATGACATTTTTTGTTATTTCCAAGGAGTTATTTTAGTCATTTCAAATTAAAAGACATGGTTGCATTAAATGTGTTTATTGAAATTTGAGAATAATCTTGGATTCAATATTTGATACCAGATTTTTTATCTAAATAATCTTTCAAAATAATATCATCTCCTCAACCATAATCTCAAAAAAGATCTTCCACATCATCAAGATGATTCCCAAAAAATCTCATGGATGGATGTGGATGCCCTAAGATAATAAGAAAACTATACTTGCTTTATAAGCTATTAAGAAAGTTACGAGATATTAAAAGCTCAAATAAAGATCGAGTAGAATTTTAATAAGAGTATTATACATTTTGAAATATGTTGAAATAACTATTGGAACAAAATGAGATGTATATATTGAAATAACTATTATGATCAAATTTGCATTATTCCTAAAATATATAGGTTAGGACGCAATTACTAAAGTATCACACCGGTAAAATATGAAGGTAAAAGTCGCATTCTTGATGATATACTATAAAGGTTAAGATGCTAATTGTTGAAGTCCCACTTCTGCCGAGGCATCATGACGCCATCTCCAACGAATGATGAATCAATTAACAATGATGAACCCAGAACTGAAACGGTGGTTCATTAATAAAAGCAGATGTCGGAAAGGACAAACTCCTGGTTTTGCACGGGAAGGTGGTCAATGTGTGGTTGGAATACAATCTATGTGATTAAAGGAAATGATGGGAAAGGATCGGGTGCAACGGCTAGTCCAAAAGATTTTCCAACACTTACTATTGAATAATGAACTTCCTCAAATTTGTGAAAAGTCCCAACTCAGGTGATAATGGTCAAAAGTTATTAGGTAAGATGCGTCTAAATTGGCTTTTACACATGAGAGCATTATATCATACGAAGGTGATAAAAAGGTGTTATTTGATATTTGACTGGTATCCTCTTCACCAGTTATACTACGCAATGTGAGTATTGTTTTTGCTACACATGTATATTGGTCTTGTTAAGTTGGGACCTGGGGTGACTCTTAAAGGAGTCATTTATGTGCCTAGTTTGACATTTCATTTGATATAATTAAGCTAGTAAGCAGGGGCGGAGCCGGGACACTGGGCCAGACTGGGCCGGTACAAACAATATTTTTGAAAATGTTTTTAAACGAAATTTTTTACACTAAAAATAAAGACATTTTTAAAATTTGGGCTGGGCCAGGGCCAGGTCTGGCCCACCCCTAGCTACGTCCCTGAGTAAGCTTGTTGATGATTTACCAGTGTGAGACTTCAACACTAATTTAGCAAAAAGGTTGTACTATGTATTATATATGGCCTATAAACTATACTCCGTATTAAGGAATTAAACTAGTTGTGATTCATCGTCTATTAAGAATTTAAGTAAAGGGTTTATTAATGAAACAATTACAACAAAAATGAGACTACCTTATTTTATATTATATGCTACTATACGTAGTATAAAATGTACCGAATAGCCACTTTGAACAAAATGTATCATTCCAGAATATCCAAGTCAAGACGTTAATTATATGTATGGAGAAAGTTGTATTATTTAATCTGGTGGTACAAGTTATTTTTGTATTTTTCTACTGCATCTTTTAATTAATTTATTAAGTTAATTATATTTTGTATTGAGATTGTGTGGAGAAAAGAATGAATACTTTTAATTAAGCAAAGTCTGCTTAGCACAATGGTTTTGTCTTTCGCATAGGTCCACAATTGATACGAGGCAAACCTCAAGGAGAAAAACATTTGAGAGAAACTTGTCGATCAACACAAAGACACACTTTCATATTAGTAATACTTTGTTTTTAATCTACATAATAATTATGTATCTAGTATGCTACTAAAATGTAATAAATAAATAAACATAAACACTAAACATTTCGATATCCCATTTGGTGTTTTAAAATTGTATTTATGTTATGAATAATATATGCATGCTTCTGCAATTATTATGGTACTTTTATCATTTTATACGGTTACCATTATTATCACATTTTACAAGAAAATGACTCATGAGATAAATTTAAAAAATAACTACACGTGGCACTTCTTGCCCTAGCCTTCCCGGCCCGGAAAGGAGTGCTACAGATCTCTTCTCTCGCCTTACACATATCACTCGTGCAGGCAGGGACGGATCCAGGATTCTGAGTCAAGGGGGGCGAAATTTTTCGTTAGTGTAGGGGGTGAATTTTTTTTGTTAGTGTAGCGGGGTGAAATTTTTTCCCCTAGTATAGCGGGGCGAAATCTTTTCGCTAGTGTAGGGCTATGCGGCTATTTTTATTCAAAAAATGACATTAATACATGCACATCCCGAATGACATTTAAATCTATTACATTCTAAGTTTAGACGATGACAAAGACATCAACCAATACATTTTTAACAACTTCTACATTGTTTAACCTCATGAATCAGTTATTGAATTGTAATTTTTGTCCACCAAGGAGGGTGTTCGTGAGTCATGACTCATGAGGAGTTTTCTTAATATTACAATAGTAGTATACTAGTATGTATGAGATTGTTATTTTTAGAATAATATGCACCACATATACACACACACACACACACACATATATATATATGGTGCATATTATATTTTAATATTTTTATTAATTCTATAATAATTTAGAGTTTATTATCCATGCAATAAATTATTTTTAGAAAGCAAGAAGTAAATGAATTATGTAATCTAATGTCTATAAATATTTATATTTTGGATTCATTTCACGTGATCTAAAAATTGTGTAATTAGTGTGTCTGGTATTTAATATTGTTTGATATATGTTTTACGAAATCCAGTACTTGTTATCTAATAAAGATAATTAAACATTACAAAACTAGGAATTCTTATATAATAAGTATCCTAAATCTTAAATAACGAGTTACTCTATTGTTTATTTGTTTAAGTTATGTAAATTATTTTAGATGTTTCTTCTTTTAAATCTCCAATTAAGTATTACATTATGTAAGACTATATATATTAATGTTGAAAATTAAAATCTAAGGGGGGCGAATCTAATTAAATTATGAAAGTTTTATGAAAATATAACATATATGGTAAAAAAAATTGAATGTCCAAGGGGGGCGGTCGCCCCCCGCGCCCCCCCCTAAATCCATCCCTGCGTGCAGGGTAAAGATCAACAACGGCCTCCATCCATTTATCATCATAAAAATAGATGGTGACGGTTAATCTCGTATAGTATATGATCATTGTACTGTAAAGTATCGTTGCCAAAGCCCCAAACAGCAACGCATTAACGAACTTCCCTTGAGGCAAAAATATCTGCAAATATACATTCAAACAATCCTTAGTAGAATGAGGTTTCCAGAAGTGGGAGATGTAAAATTAATTGTAGATAATTGATTAGAAAAGTGAAATATAAATGACCTGAATAATTGTAAACAATAGTGCCACAAAGATAACGGAACATAAGAATGGTTTCAGAACGGTAAAATCGTCATATTTCCTCCATGTGGCCCAAAATGTATACATAGTAAGAAGGATCATGACTGCCGCAATTAGGATAGAGAATTCCAAGGCTACTTTATCTGTTCCACAAACAAGGCAGCAACATAACATGTTAATTCAGTGACGTGTATACCCACTCTATATACTATATACACTAAGGGGTTGTTTACTTGTGACTTGATGGACTTCACGAGTTTTGTGAGTTAATCAGTAAACTATATATAGTTGTGTTTATTTGACTACTTTTTTGTGTGTTGATTAGCAGATTTTCAACATTGATCGGTTGATGTGCATATTTAAAGTGTTGTTATTGGAAATTTCTTGAATTTTTCTTATGATGTAATGCAATTATTTTTAGACACTTGAAATTACCTTTTTTAATAAAGAAAATATTCTATTAGTTCCTGACAAGAGAGTAATTTGGTCATTTTATATTATTCAGACTACTCATTCAGGATACATATATAGTAAACACTTAGTTATATGCATATCACTTAATCCAGAGAGATCTCTTAACCCAGACAGACGTCTTAACTCATTCAGGACTTGATGAAAAAAAGGAAACATCCCCTAACTATTGTGCAGCAAAAACTTCTAACCTTATTGCACAGAAACGTGAAAATCATGAGGAAACGGGAAACATACTCTTTCTCGAGAGTTTCCGTGTTACATATCTTCTTACCGCTCACATTTCTATACAATTCAAATTTTTTCGTTTCGAAAAATTGATTCGGAAAGGTTGTGAAACTCGAAAACTTAAAAAAAAAAAAATAGGGCTGCTTTCCCAATTAAAAATAATTGGAAAACTTATTTCCCAAGATAAATAGTTTTTTTAGAAAACTAACGGCTTGCAATCTTTTATTATTTTTTATGGGCTTTCAGGATGGAATATTACATATGCTTATTCTAACATCTTTAGTGAATTTTATTAAATTTATTCCTGGTCATTAACATTGTAATATTTCAAAACGTAATGCATTGTATAAAATAGAGAAAATTTTCACTAGTAAGACTAAAACATGATTCGTTTCCCAGTATATGACTGTCATTTTTTTCCTATGCTGATGGTTGGAGACTATGCATAGTAATTTAATATATATCCTTATTCCGTATTTTATATTCCACAGTATAATTCTTCAATCAATAAATTTGGAAACTTTGTTGACTTAACACATACTAGTATACTTTAACCATTTCCATTATTATTGTTGAAAATAATAATACATGGTATCCAATCAGTTTCCATTATTATTATTAGATTACTATATATATTATTATGTATTATACGATCAAAAAAATATTACTACGTATATATTACAGTATGTAATATTATTATACGATAGTATGTGCTACATATCATACTGCCGTACATTTATTGCCCTCTTACACTTTTTTAAAATAAAAATCAAATTTTAATGATAAGAAGTAAGAGTACATATCAAATTTTATCGAGAAATGAAATTTCCCGAAACGTAAGACTAAAAGCATATATATGATTATATGGTCATATTCTTGAAAAACTTAGGGTATTTATCCCTATAAACTATATTACATGTTATGTTTAAATATTACGGAGTACATCTTATGTTTAATCTTATGTTTAATTATGTACAAATTTCAAAGTATGAACATGTACGTAGACTATATTTATTATTGGTTACTAAAATAATAAACTTATAGGCATATCGGGACCAACTCACCTTCATAGAGTTGATTGATCGAATTAATTAAAACGTACCCTTCATATATATACAAATGAATCCCGTGATTAAAGAAAAATAAACGGTGAAAATTGTGATAAGGAAGAAGTTCCAAGGATGCTTATGGCTCCACCTTACTGAAGCTACCGATACTGCAAAAAAAAAAGTGAAAAAAACCATGAGTGGTTTAAATATTAAAATCTAAATAGGAGTAAAATAAAAGTTAAATATGTATATAAATAGTGAGATCTTTATTTTGTGTTACAAATAGGACTTCATCATGAATAGTTCATAAGTTTTTATTGAATGGGTATTTTTCAAGAAATTTTCCCATTACTTTATACATCTATTTTAACTAGTACGTTGTAATAACGGATAATTAACTTAATTTATTTTTGAAAGTAATGGAATATGTGTATATACATATTCAATGTATAAAAACTAAAATATGATATAGAATTATATGAGAGTGCATGTATAATATTTGTTAGAGTACATATTCATATTTAATACGTAGTATATTTTTAAATTTTAGTGGTAACTATGATGGTTATTTTATACATTGTTATTTACAATCTCTTGAGTATTTAATATATGTATTTATTATAAAAAAAACATTTCACTTTTTATGAATAATAAAATGTGTCTTAGCATTAAGTCCGTTGTGATTTAAAATTTATAATATTTTTCATCCAGAAGTGGAAAGGTTTAATCTCTATAGTATCTCTCTTCATCCATCTCAAATCCCAACATATGTACAATAAGGTTTAGCCCCCCCCCCCCCCCCCCTCTCTTTTATTTTTTAGTACTACTGGTATTATGTACTCCCTCCGTCCCGCAATAAACTTCTCGGTTTGACTTCACACAGATTAAGAAAATAAATTTGACTTTACTGTAGAGTGCACTGTTTTGCACTGTTCAAATAATGTTTAACACTGTTTGGACACTGTTTGGCATTGTTTTGATGTAGATAATTTGCCAAATAAGGAAAGTTTTGAAGAGTGAAGTTAATTTCGGGACTGTCCAAAAAGGAATGTGTGAAGTTTATTGCGGGACGGAGGGAGTATCAAATAATGAGAAAAGATTGGGTCAGAATTACCTGATAGAAGCTTTGATTTGAGATGCTTTCAAATAGAATTTTTTGATGGAATTTTATGAACATGTATTTGATGAATTGTAGATTTATGTCCACCAATTTTCAACTTAAATTTCAATCAGAAAGTCAATTAAATAAATTATGGAAAAACATTGCGCTTTGTATATATATTTTGGCGTGGTGTTTTTCAATAATTTATTTTAACCGGCTTATCGATTGAATTTTAAATTTAAATTTAGTGTAAATAATCTACACATTATGAAGAACAGTGTCACAAATTTCATCAAAAAAATCCACCCGAAAGCACCTCAAACATAGTCATCCGAACGATGGATCCAGTCAGTATTTTGGAACAACCCAAAAATTAAATAAAGTAATACAACCAAAATAGGACGAAAGGAGTATATATATTGGGATTTCTATTAGTAATAATAACAATATACGAGTAATGAATTTGGTGTATAAAACATGGGCACTTTCACTTAACTTTAAATCATACCGATGCACAGAATGGAAAAGACAATAACAGAGACAACAGCTGGGTGGGAAGTGAAGAAAAGCAGAGTAGGGTTCAGGACGATGACGATGTAAACAACTGCGGCGGCCAGAAGGAATTGGAGGGAGAGATGGAAGTAGACCTTGCGAATGAATTCCCATCGGTGTTTTGCGTCCGGCGCGCCGCCGTCTGCCGCCTCCGGATTGCCTTTCACGGCAGTGTCCGCCATCTCGCCTCCGCCCAGCTTTCTGAAAGATCTGTTTAATTATTATCTCGTAATTAATCAGTTAATTAATGAAGCGCCATGCTCTCTCTAATCAGGACGGGTTTATATTTAGAGTCAGAATTGCATCACACCGCGCGGGACACGGCGAACCCATTTGGTCAACGATTATCATGAACTCATCCATCTTTTAGCTACAAAAAATAGAGTCAAATTGATTTGAATTATCGATTTTAATGAGATTGGTTAAGTTTTGACTAAAGTGAATGAATTTAATAAATAGGAAAATGTTATACTTAAAATATAGTCCATTCATAGAATAAAGAAAAAATGCTAATAAGGCTGATAAAATTAGTATTTGATAAAAAAAAATTGATTTATAAGGCTGATAAATCGACAACATGGATCATTTAACTCTTAATATGTTGTCTTTGTGATCTCTTTAAATGATTTGCTCTAAGTTGATCTGATAACATCCATACAAACTACAATGTAAATTTTAGTATTGTCCAAATCTATGTTTTGATATACAAGTATCTTGTATAATTTGTTTAAATCTGACCAAATTTAATCTCGTTGAGTCTAATATAATTTGAAAGTGAAATTGCATATTTAAACATTTCACATATTTGGTAATATGGGCACCATAAAGTTGGGTTTTTGTGATCCCTAAAGAACGCTACCATGTCTTCAGTTCTCCAACTCTCCAAGTAATTGCATGACTTTCTTACTATACTTTTCTCCAAATTGCAGGTTTTTTCTTATCGTTTAGTTTATCTTCCCGCCAGCTGCCACAATAATCAATAATTCCGTTGATATTTTTATTATTTAATTACTGAGTATTTAATTTGTCTCTCCAAATGCATACCGGAGTTGATATTTTTTAAGGGATGCCTGTAATTATGCGAACATGTTGACAAATTTGCGCAAATTATATCGTGGGATCGGCCCACCATGAGCATGGTGCGCCGATCCCAAAACGACGCTGTATTATTAATTGCAAAAGAGAGAAACTCAGCCGAAAGACAGAAAACAAGAGATCCCATCTAGTGATTGCCGACTGGAGTTGAAGCAGGGGAGGATCTATGTTAGGGCTATGGTGGGCTGAAGTTCAGGGCAAAGTTAAAAATTAAATTTTTTCTAAAGTAGTATTTTTAAATATTTCCATCCAGCCCACTCCAATTTTTTCTATAACCCACCCCAAAATTTTCTATTTCCCGGTCCAAATTTTCAGCTCAGCCCATAAAACAAAATCTCGTCATCTAAAAGTAAATCTAATCTAAATGTTATACGCATCACGATAGGACCGACCAAGGGGAGGGGCAGCCTGTGCAATGGCATAGGACCTCAAAAAATAGAAAGCTCAAAAAATCAGTAGTAGTATTGATTATGTAGCCCACTAGCCCAAATTCAATAAAAATGAAGAAAAGTAATAGGCTAATAGCCCCGCATCTGGGATGAAGCGAGCAAGTCTTCGCCCTTTGACTCTTCATCATCGACATTGCGATTTCCGCAATGCAAGAATCTGCATCAGCCGAATTCGATAAAGCTATTCAATCTCTGTCGAGTGCCGAGTCGCCGACCACTCCAGGACCCAAGTGCCAACATCTGTATGTGCCTCTGTGTAGCCATGTAGGTCCGCCAATCAAACTACATTTGAGCATCCTTATCACTTTGACTTTTTCAACGAGGCAATATACTTTGTATAGATGGAGTTAAGGACCCAGTTTAATGATAAATCAATGAAACTCCTTTCTTTGAGTGCTTCATCGGATCCTAAAAACTCAAATGAGTCCTTCAATGCCGATATTATTTGTACTCTTGTTGACTCATCGAGAACAAATTTAGTGGAGAACTTTTATATTTTTTTTCCTTATTTGAAAATTTTTAATGTATTACTCCTTCTGTCCTACTAACAATGGGACAAGAGGGAGTGACACGCAAACTAATAAAAAGTGAGTTATGTGATTGATATTGAATTGATAAAGTAAGAATAAAGTAAGAATAATTTGGAGCCACACAAATTTTGCCTAATTTGGTATGGGACAATCTTAGTGGGACGGACTGAAAAAGTAAAGAAATAATTACATAAATATGATTAAAATAAAGATGATTTACAAAAATATGATTAGTGACTAGAGTAGTAATGAAATCACAGTAATTCATGTTCAAGTTTTGAACTTAAATTATCACAACACCACATTGTAGTAATGAATAGTCATATTTATGTAAATATGTTTTATTTTAGTAATATTATTGTAAAAAACCCAAAAGTAAAATGGGACAATCTTAGCGGGACGGAGGTAGTATCATTTAAATGTTTCAGCCTACCCCGACATGAAATCCAGGATCCGCCCCTGAGTTGAAGGTCGCCATCGCTGGGAGCTTCTTTGCCCGTGCTGATACGCCATCACCAGGTGTTGAAGATGCCAGTTCCAATTGATCTTCCAGCCACCCCTGTACGTCCTTGATGTTTGGCCGACACTCATCTGCCCAACAAAAGTGAAAAACATTCCACCAAATGAATTCATACATATACAGAGCATTTAAAGAGAAAGACTTTTATTTGTAAATATTTATGCAGTAATGGAAAATTGATAAAACATGTGATTAAATTTTCATGTATGTGATTTACATTTTCATATATGTGAGTTACATATATACATGATTCCTGAAGTTATATTTGAGTTACACCTTCTCATCCACGAGTTACATAATTTTATGCTTGAGTTACATTATTTTATAAGCGAGTTACATCTTCTGAAGCGCAAGTTACATTTGTCATCAACGTGAGTTACATTTCTAATAACATGAGTTACATAAAAAAGTAACCCCCTGCTATTGAAACAAACAATTTTTTTAAAAATCCGAATAATGATCATGATATTAAAAACAAAACATATTCACGATTTACGTAAAGTAATTGTGTAATTAGATTTTTTTTTCATTGTTTACATTGAAATCAATGTTTTATTTCTTATAGTATGGACTTGATAAGTTACATTTTGAAAGACTTGAGTTACATTGATCAACAACGTGAGTTACATATCTTTGCACGCGAGTTACATCATTCATACTACTGGGACAAAAAAAAAGTTACTGTACACACGTGTATTGTTCACGCGTTACTATTCACGCGAATTTTTAAAAAAAAAAATGTGCAAAACTACGTCGTTTTGGATGTGGGAGCACAGTGCTCACCGTGGAGTGATACCACGGTATACGAACTCACAAATTTGTGTATACATCAGTAAAAGTGTAAAGCAAGTTAGACTCACGCAAATCATGCAAAAGCAAGCATAGGCTCAGGTTCGGGATTTATTTGAAAACGATTCCAATAAATTATCGGATCCGAAAGATGAAAAAATGTCAATCTAGGACCTAACATTTCATAGGTTTTGGTTTGTTTATTTTTTTTATTAATTTTGTTGCTAATTTTTTATAAACTTTCTTCACAAAAGTTTATTAGTTTAATAAAACTAAATCATATTTAATTTTTTTAAATAAAATTCATGACAACTTAGGCCCTAGTTTGATAGTTTTCAATCATTCAGGTCCAAAATTGATAGTTTCTTATCATACAGAGGTCCTATATCGATGCATTCTATCTTTCAGGTACTGAATTGATAAAATTCCTTACTTTTATTACTCGTTATGTCCCTTAAAACTTTGTCAGCTTTCCTTTTGTGGTTGTTCCACTAACTTTGTCATTCCTCCTTTTAACTAAAGAATTTGTGATTTCAGTTAATTCTTTTTCCTCTGCACATACCTAAATCATACAGTTTTTACTTTATTAATTGTCGTGTCTGTCAAACTTGGCAAAGTTTTATGTTAGGATGGAGTATCACATCACATAACGGAATATTTAAGAGTATCAAGCCAGGCCTTAAATTTACAAATGATATACTATCGTAGAATTTATCTAGAATTCATAATAGGGATAAATGTTCTAAAATTAATTAAGCATCTGTTATCAAGTTTTTGAAGAGGTTAAATCGATTCTACATAACACGACTCCAAATCAGGTTGTCCCATTTTTAAAAAAGAAAACTCGTTAGTATATTATATTGTTGGAACATTATATGTTGTGATTCAATTTGTATTTCCCTTTCTCTCTCTTTTATTTACCTAGTATAGCTATCTTTATTTTATTCAAGATTTTTCACTTTGCCCTAATATGTTTAGGAACCAATAATATTGTAATGATTTCACATTATTGCCCAGTGTGTGTGTCTATATATATATATATATATATATATATATATATATATATATATATATATATATATATATAAATTGATGATTTCAAGTATTTGAAAACACAGTATAATTTTTACCAAGTCAGAATCTATTGAATATGTGGGAGTTTGTCAGGTGCCACTAACAATAGAAATCAACGCTTTAATACTTATACGAAGTATAATGCAAGGGCGGCCCTAGGGGGGTGAAAGCGGGGCGGGCGCCCTAGGCCCAAAAAATGGGTAAAAAATAGGTCCAAGTTTAACTCTTTGTAATATGTGTGAGTAGGCTGATTTTTCAGCCCTAAACTAACATTTTTCGGGTTAAATTTGTTGAAACTCTTTGGAATGGATTTTTTTGGTGAAAACTTATGATCATGCTCTCTATAAAGTGTGAAATATGTAAAAAAAAAAAAAAACAGTTTAAAGTTCAATTTAGAAGTCAGTAAAATAAATAATTGAAAACACTGCGTTTTTATACATAATTTGGCGAATTATTTTCAGTAGTTTATTTAACTGACTTCACGGTTGAATTTTAAGATGAAATTTTATAGACATAATCTAAACTTGATGAAAAATATTCTTTACAAATTTCATAAAAAATCTAGTCTAATATGCTTATTTGATTAGTTTACTAATTTAATTGTTTTCATTCATAGTTGATTATTTGATATCTTAATTGTTGATTGTTTTCTATTGAGTGTTGGTGTACGACTTAACTTGTTGATTTCGTTAGACAAACATTTTCAATTATGATAAAATTTATAAATTTAATTAATTTCAAGGTGTAAGAAAAAGGATTGAATCTGAATAGGATAAATAAAAAAGAGGAGAATATTAGAGAAATTGGCGCTATATAAAAAAGTTTTATGGAAAAATTTGTTTGTGTAAAGAGTTAATTCCTTAAATAT